GAATGTCCCTTACCAAACGGTGGTCTCTTGGTGTGTGCTTACGTCATCAACACACCCCACTGTTCGTAGATAGTTCGTTTTATATCGGGTCAGTGCTTGGCGTAGTTGATCTGTCACGTGAATAAAATAACCATATCACACAGCATACGTCATAAAACACACTCGGCCAGCTTATGTCTTCAAATGGCATTTTCTCATGCGAGTACCAAAACCACTTCGGCTATAAATCGCGTGATAAAACAGCACGTCATTCATTCTCGAGGACTTTATGAACGTATCAAAAATTACGACGACACATTCTGTCAGATCTTATGTCGTTGCTAAAACCACAAGGTGGAATCCGAAGGGCCGAGCACGTCCATTTCGACGTTCTTCGACTTCGAACAGAATGCCTTTTTTTTTTCCAAAAAAATATATAATCGCACAGCTTGGCGTTTAGCTCGGGAAATATTGAATATTACAGTATTGCAGGACGTGTATCTGATCATAATCTGTTTTCCTCACACGTAGTGACAAGTTCTGATTAATTCTTCAGTCATTTAACGACGCTTTTCTGATAGCTACACGACTCACGAAATGTTGAACGTTGTGAAGTTGTAGTTCTTGTAGAAGGACACTTTGTGATTGGTACGGTCCTGCCTCAGCGATTGTCGGTGGGGAAATGTGAAAACTGAGAATTATACTCGCTGTGAATACCGGAATAAATACTATTTTTGGCGCGATTAAAATATTTTTGAAATATGTTGTGAGATTTTAGGTTCTCACGGCGGTGAAGATGGCGATGACGTTATTCTGGGCTGTGGGCAGTGTGTGTAGTCATGTATGCGTTAATCCGAAACGTTGGTACCTACTTCGAAGTCCATATGAAGTGGCTTACAACCCAGAAGAAAAACATCGACAGTTTTGTCTTCAGATGTTGATGAACTATTTTAATTTGTCAGTGCCCGGTCCCCGTCGACGAGCGACATATATTTCTACCTGCCCCAGCGTCCCTGTGTTAGGATCTTCAGAAATGCGAGCTGTGTAATGAAATCTGTTTCCGATTTAGAGTACGAACTTTAAGTTTTGCTGCAGAAGACTTTAGAATCTGGTGAGTGTGAGATTAGCGCATTTTCTCACTTAAATTTGTAGTTTTGTAGTTCCAAAATCTTCCTAGAACTAATAGATAACTTTATGTAACGAGTATTAATAAGTAGTATCAGTAGTAAATGTTTCATGCTATCTGCATTTCAAAAATTTCGCGTTTTGGCATTAATTAAACCCCCAATTTCCCGCTGGTTCATCTTCTGTCTGTCTTATCCTCAGTGACTAATAGCGCTAATATTATAATTACACGGTATAATGATAAAACGCATAATTATAGCAGTTCCTAATATAAGACACTACAGAGAAATGCTTATGGGACATTTCCCTGCTTTATTTTCTTTACAATTTTTGTTTCTTATTGTCATTATCTGCTACGAAATCTGTAATGCACATTCAAAACACTTAAACCACGGATACGACACTAACTCACCTTTCTGAGAAGCGGATAGTTGCTCAGCTGGTCAATAAATTTGATGTGTTGTTATAGAACGTAATAGTTGGCGATCATGTTCGCAAGATCCCGCCACCGACCATGATCCATACTCTCAGCGTCGAGAACCTAAGTTGAATTATGTTTTATGGATGTCGGGTGTCTTAAAACTGGTTTCTTATTTTGTACTATTTATGTTCCTGGGTGCAGCTTCATATTACAATATTCCAGGTTTGCCGTAAATTCTTCCCTCCATCATAGCCATCATTAATCAGTGTTATACCGGAAGTTGAGTTTTGGTTGTTGTTGCCTGCTTTTGTTTAGCCGAACTTTACCGGAACAAGTACTTTAAAATATGTTGTCTGTCGGTAGGTATAAATTGTTCTGTTTCAGCCTGAGTACGTTGAAACGGGGATTTGTTAGTTTTGAGTAGATTTTCGTTTGTTAAGGAAGTGAAAGTTGCCCGGTCTAGGATTGGGAGATCACCTCTTGAACCATTTCATCATTGTTTATGAAATTTAGTACGAAATTTATGACGTTTGAAGTCACCCAAATCTCGCAGAACATGGCCCGATCGCAATTGTCAGCTGGGAGCAACACTTTATACAGATATTAAAAGTAACTTAAGATAATTTTGTTGCTGCATGAAACGTGAATGTTTATGTGTCGGTTTGATGATTGTAACCAATGAACGATTGGATCTTGTAACTAAAACAGACGTCGTCATTAACCCAAACACAATTTGTTAAAAGGCCCGTATACTAAGAAATATAAACATTTCTACGATGTGAGGGCCGTAGACCCCTAACCTAACCTGCATCGTTCCTTTTTCAAAAATAATTTTGAATTGTTATTTGGAGACCTTTCAAATGCCAGTTTAGTCGCTGTTGTAAATCCGGTCTATAATCACAAACCCAGCAGTTAAAGAGACTCGGTTACAACATCCTTGTTGAACCCCACTGCACAAGCTTCAGATGTTGACTGTGGTTGCTGAGAGATAAATCGGGGTGTCCCTTCGTGAAGACTCCAAAGCAATCCATGCTCGCTTTTCGTTTTCCTTTGTCAGAGAGATGACGTTTTCCACTTTTATCTGCGAGATTTGTAAGTTTCTTTAGTGTTAATTAACTAGTATTCCCCTCCCATCTTGTTTAATTCGATAAGATGTGGATACATTCATAAAAAGAGCGAGTTTCTTTCCTGTAGTCGAATTCCCTATAACACAATCCGGGATTTGACGTGGCTCTCAGCTTCATGTTTACGTCATTGCTGCGAGATTGACTGATCCTGGCGCTAAGGAAGCTGGCGACTTCCTGTTCTTGAGACACACGCGAGGAGTAGCGGCAAATTAAATGAAGAAGGCGTCGGGTGTGTGGAAATGAGAATTAACCGGAGCGAAAAATGTTATTATAACTTGAATTTCGATATGTGTGTAGCTAGATTCAGAAAATAACAAACTCCACTAAGGAAGACAACTGGAACCACGTAAGAAAACTTGGTCTACGTGTTCAGTGTGAGATTTACCTGGGCTGGGTTCGCGAGAAGACCTCGCGACCTAGATGAGAGTAGAGTTACTTATGAAGATGGCTGTCTTCTGGGTTGTAGCGCCGTGTAGTCAGGTAGAATTTACCGACGTTTCAGAGGTCCTTGTTGCGTCCATCATCAGGGTTATTATTGCACAAAGCCAACAGTGGTTGCCTGCAGGCAGACGTTTGGTGTTATTTTTACTTATTTGGAAGACAAATGCTGGCAAAATATTAATAATACTTAACTTCCTCACTTATTAACACACTTTCTGGACACGAATCGCGGTGTAAACAAACATATTCCACGGTCATGTAGATTCTTTAGTTACATTAGACTTTAAGGTAAAACAAATAAGTTTCTGATGATTTGTGTTCTTCGTTCATGCCTTATTTGAAAGTAAATTTTGCTTTGCTGAACAGAAAAATCGGAATATTATGCTAATGAAGGGTGTAACTTCAATGATACAGGTAATAAAATATTGAAGGAAATTCAAGACAATTCTTCAGAACTGATAATTGTAAATGGATGTTTTTGTTTTGCTGCAATATTTACTTTGGAGATAAATTATTTGTAAACTCAGGTAGCAATTCGTTCAGCGTGTAGACCTGTCAAGTTTCAGGGGGCAACATAATGCTAACAAGACGACATGTGTGAGTCGTATTGTACGTGCAACCAACGTGTGTAATCAGAACGTAAATGTTACACGTGTCCGCACACTTACATCATCCAGACGGGTGCAGATGTCCTCAAGCTCACATTCTCTCTGTGTCTAGTGCAGATGTGTAGGTTCTTGGCTTTGAATTCACTTCTTTGATCGCCTTTTATGGTAAAGTGCTTACTGGAGTTGGAATCTTCACGTAAAATTATAGATCTGTTTGTAAACATGGATCGTTTGCTCATAAGCACCACTTTATTTCCACTTAGATCCTTTGATTGCAATGGCAGATTCTGATTAAACTGAACGCATGATACGTTATGTATGAATGAATACGCCGCGATATCGAGTGTGAATTTAAGTCCCTTAAACATTCAGACAGCAAAGAGACTTCGAATGTAAATTGAACGCACCTTCCTAATTCTGCCTCAGGGGTTCATTACCGGCGCTTGTATTTTGTTCCCAGGAAGGTCGCGTGATCATTATCACCGTCTTGAACGTCGGAGGTTGGGGTCGTCGAGACAGCCTCAAGCTCATCTTCGACTCTCCATCGTAATTTTCGTAGCGAAATGCCAACTGTGTCCTGTAGTCCCTTTATGCTCTTTCCAGATGGTGTCGCCCATTTGTTTTCGTTGTTTAACGGCGGAATGTCCCCTGGAAAGAATTTACCATCTCCACTTCAGAACAGCGCGCACGCTCTGTTATTGTCGACGTCCGCCGCCCTTGTCGTTATGACCAAGGTTCTTTGACTGAAGACAGGCCCTGGGTTCGAGCTTTGGTCGAATTTGTACATGGAACAGAGTTTGTTAGAGTTTTTTTCCTACAGATGAAAAGTGACTGGAATGTGTTTATGACTACTTATCTCATATGTCGAAGTCTGAAAACCTCCACTCTACTTAAAATTATTCATTTTCTGGACGTTCTCCATCGTCCTTGTTTGAAAGAATAAACCACGACGTTTCGGAAGCTGGATCTGTTTCCGTCTTCAGGCGAAAGGTACCTACTCAGTTAGGTCCGTCACTGGACGATGGAAAAAGTGCAAATAGTAATTAATTTTAAGTGTAATCGATCATCGTCAGAGCTCGTCGCTACTGTTAAGTAGCGACACGGTGTACGTTCACTCATGAATCTCTCGTCTGCTGTAGTCTGAACCTGCTGATTGAAGCAAGCTGCATCGACCTCGGGCATCGGCGAATTGCACAGAATAATTCAGTGAAACGAACAAGCTACGATGTATCGATCTGGAATTAATCGAAAGTACGCGAAGTTATTGCAAACACAAAACGAAACAAAAACTGCGACCAGATTGTAAGAACGTTGGAAAACGAACTCTTATTACGATAGCGTGGTTTGTACTGCCATCTTCCGGAAGATTATGGAATAAAACTCCTGTTCTAATACACAACCGCGCGAATGAACTTCACGTAACTGATGAAAGTATTCAAAAAATTTATCCTTTCCCGGTATATCGCTGTGGCTTACGTGCTTAACGATTGTACCATCTTTATGCCGGAGAGGATATTCGTGCAAAACTTATTCTGCTTTCTAGATTGACGCCATTTTTGAGCGAATGAAGTGTTGTGTTCCGTGATCCAAATTATGCTCTTGTTCCGTGTAATATTATTATACTTTTTTCCACGCCATGTTGTAGGCCAGAGTCGAAGCCTCTCCCTCAGGCTCTGAACATGGAACATTCTGGAAGAAATAATCTGAAATTTACGAGATGTTACTTTGTGGTGTTTGCGTAATCGCTTAAGTGTTTGCCAGTGCTGCCATCTAGTTGCTTCTCAAATTAATGAGTCCCGTTAATAATGTGATATGCTGCCTCCATCATCAGGGCGATGAGTACTCATCCCACCTGTGTAAACTACGTCCACGACGCTACAACACAGAAGACAGTCATCCTGAATTTAATGTAACTTAATTTGCTTGTTCCTATAGATTTGAGAGCTTTTCTGTAGTCAGGGAATTTCAGACACTCGAAACGAACTCCTTTCGAATTTACTTAACTTCAGTAACTAGTTTCATTGATTGCAACAAAAACCTGATGTAGAGACCCATTTAAATATGCTTCAATTTGTTTGCTCGTAGGTTACTATGACAACGAAATTTTATGTGTTAACACGTGCGCTGTTTTTCAGAGCCATAAAAATGTCACGAAGGAGCGAACAGTTTTTATTTTCACGTAATGTTTCTTTTCTGTGAGTGGTGACAATATTTAGGTCAGAAGCAAATTCTCCGTTCCGGCCGCATTGCGCCTCCAGACCACTGAAGCCGGAGGAATCTCAAAGACGTGTTTTGTATGCAACACAGCAGCGACATATTATTATTAACATTATTTCATTTATTCACAATTTTACAGGGTATTTACTTCTACGTACCCCAGACAAACCTTGCCCCTGAGGTACACAGTGCAGCAGCTATTACTGAGATAAATTTTGTTTTTTAATATGTGTTACATATATTATATAGTTTTATTGTGAGGCATTAATATATATTTTACATGAGCGTCTTTTTAATGATGTGTCTCAGTATTATTTAGGACCTGTGATGTAATTACCTGTTTCGTAAGCCACTTGCAGGTTGTCGTACATTGGAGGAAATTAACTGAAATTTTTTTTTTTTACTAAGGTTAGGATTCTAGTGCAGTGTAGTGGAATATGAGTGAGGAGGTTAGAGGTGTTTGTACTGATCCCTATCTTACTTATTGCTAAGTAGGTTTCTTAGGCCAGCGTTTTTCAATCTATGGTACGCGTACCACTGGTGGTACTCGAACTAAGTAAGAAAATATTAACGTAAACGCATTTGGTTGGTGGTTCATTTAGTGTGTTAAATTAGAATTAGTGGTAGGCCAGCGAGAAAAGGGTGAGAACCCCCTAACTTAGGCATTGCGATTAACGTAGGCTACACGCAGTCGGCAGATTACAAGACGGTTTATCGTATCAGGTCTTTACAGGTTAGATTTGATTATTGTAACTTTTAATTTCATGGCCATAAATATTTTGCATTCAGTAGCGTCTGATTTCTAATTTACAGTAATTACCCGAAATAAATAAAATGCCATAAAAGCATTGGGTAAAATATTCTATTTGCAAACACAGCGCCCCATTTTAGTTAATGCGTTTTAAATGAGCCTGATTATAGCCGTTAAGCGACGACGTTATTGCTCGTTTAAGATCTGAGGTTATCGGGACTGTGAGGAGTCGATGTGGATTTGTGAGGAACATATCTCTATCTTCCTGTGACTCCACATGCCGTCAAATGTAACGTACCAAGAACCATATAGAATTAAAGTGAGAATCGTTGGACCTTGTTAATTCTCACTTCTGAAATCACGTACAAAATAACAACCTCTTCGGAGTTTTACAGAAGCTTTGTGGGTTCATTAAATTAATTTAACTATTTTCAGAAGATTTTTCCAGACTGTTCGTTTTAACAAAACTTTATGTTTCCGTGGGCTTACTGTCGGTGTTAAATTTTATCTTACACGTTCTCATATTTGCTCTCAGGAGGAAATGCAACAGCGGCCCAAGTACATTGTAACATTTTATGCCTTGTTACACCATTTTGTTTCGGAAGAACTAGGAAGGTTTACAGGAAGTTAAAAATATTATAATCTTTTTTTAGATTTGATTTTGTGCAGACGCCACGATACCCGTTCTACAAATTTAAAGCAACCCGCGTCGCCAGGACAGTTAAAAGACCATACACGGAGACCCAATGTGACTTCCGTCTAGTATCTGGAAGAAACTCTAATTTACAAACTGAATGTTACATCTTGCCTAATATAGCAACTAATTCCTATTCATCCGAACTACGTAATCGATTTTTGAAATCTTTTTTTCGAATTGTCCATTTTTTTTATTATAATGTCAGCTGCAAATCTGAGTTGACCTAGATTGTCGTTTCAAAGTGTAAGTTTTGTGTTTTAGAAGGGCGGAAGCCTGTTTGCTACTACAATTTTTGTACATTTTGGAATTCCCTTCAGTGAATCATTGAAAAGGAAACACGAGAATGCAAACAATAGATGAGATGACTGACTCTTGCTATTTTACTAAAAGAACTTGAGACAAACGACTCAAAATATTTGCAAAATGTTTTTGCACGTGAACAAAGAGTCGCTTCGAAATCTGCTTACATTAACACGGCCAACTATCGAGGAAAAGAAATACGTTAATGAGAAAAGCTGTTATGCTATCAGCCCCCCCCCCTTTCCCCTCTGCCCCTCCCGGTAGCGTAACCTACGGCGACTGCGCAGTAGAACTTTGTGCGTCCCCAAACACACTGCAATTTGCATCATGGTACGGCCTTATCGGAGAGCTGAGTTCAATGACAGAACGGTTAACATAGATTCTGTCATCTATTCTGGGTTTATTGGACGAAGGTTTCTGACGATGGTACCGTTATAATGTGTAAAATGTCTCGTTGAACTTTGTCTCGTCCCTAAATCAACAAAAACGACTTTAGGCTAGATTCTTCTTCGTCTGAAGTTGAAAAAACATTATAGACACTTTTACTTGTTCAGAATACGTTGTGTCGAGCAATAAGATGGTATTTAATAATGAATTGTAGTGGATTATGAAGGAAATTGTCGTTGTCTAATATAAGGCACTCTATCGTTATTTGCGTGAAGCGAATTAGGAAAAATTCTTTAACCCTTTGAAGCCGAAGCTCGTCTTCATAATATTTACGAATCCAGACCGTACCGCGAAGAAAACACTTCACTTAACCATTAGAAGTCGAATCAGGCGGTACCACATAAGATTTAACAAAAGAACATCCCGGTCAAAGCCTTAATCTGCTCCCTCCAGTTTACGAACCAGACAGACGAGGTTAGCCTTCTACGGATTCCATGACTGTTCAGCCCATGTCGTATTTAGTACGAGCAACGTGTCAGCTGTCACTTGACGCGTGGATCGGGGGTCGCGCGGGTGTGAAGTTTGTCAGCGACACGTGTTGACCTTTTTACATTTAGTTGCGAATCGGACGTGTGACATCAGGACGAATATGGAAACCGATTTCTCTTCTCAGACTCTCTCATAGCTTTTAACTTCTGCAAAATACTAACGATACTTTTTATTGACTCTTAGATTACTTAATGACACTGTTTCAAGTACAGAGGTTATATATTGCTTCGAGTAACGAGGAATAACGGTGAAAATGGAAGGACTTATTCGCCTTGCAGAGGGAAATAAAAGAATAGTCCATAGAGACACTCGAGATATGAACCGGACATCTTCAGGTTCACCGCTGCGCCAACCTTCACAACGTAACCAAGCCAATAAAACGTACTTACTATACTCTTGGTAAAATAAACTCATAATGATACGCGTACAGGGGGATTTGAGGAGTGTAAGACCCGGTGTTCGTCACCTTTGTACTCTCTTGCAGACTGGCTATAGAATTACGTGCCATATTTTCATCTGACAGTAAAGTTATAATATTAAGTCGCTGGTGCAGTTGGATTCACAATTATTAGTTTCCCGTTCGGCAACGCTGTATAATGATATATGATGCCCTTAATATCACATACAAAGTCATTCCATGAACCTATAGCTAGTCGAGCAATCAGAACTTTACGTAACAATCATTGCAGAGTCAGAACTTTTGAACCCCGTGGGAGATATAAGCGTAATATTGTTTGTGTAACGTACATCTACTGCTTTATGATTTGGGTTCTAAGAACCATCCATACAGACACAGACATTTCTCCTGATACGCGCGCGCACACATTCTCCCTCGCACACGCGCCGGGAATCCAACCCTTGGCCTAGTGACGGACGGACTGCGCGATAAGACGTGTTTTCATAACCAGCTGTAAATTTACTAACGCGTGTCTTACTGGAGGGCAGAGAGGAGTTAGTTGATTACTCGCTCATTTCTCGAACATTGTTATATGCTAAAAACTAATACTAGGTACATGACACACCTTTAACGATATGTTTACAATTTAAGGGAGTTGTAATTGGCTGGAAATCAGTGACGGTTTTAAACGTTGCTAAAAAAATCAGTTGTGCCGAATTTATTGATTGTAAATTAAGAAATGACGAGTTTATTAAACACTTTCGGTGTCTACGTCTAGTAAAATAGAAAGAAGGACTGCGTTACTATAGGTTTATATGAATATTCGACCAAGTTCTCTACATGTTCAAGTACATTATATTAAGGGTGAGTCTGTAATATGTCCCGTTCACAATTATGAAACCTTTAAATGTAAATACTGATACAAAAAATATGTAAGAGCCAAGGAAATCCAAGTACCAAGTAAAAGAAACGCTACCAGATTCAGCTTAAGATGGTATTAGAAT